GGTTTTCAGCTTGGTGGTGGGAGTTCTGCCCCCAAGTGGCCAAAAAAACTAAAATTAATGCAACACATTGTATTCAAAAAAGCGGCCGTGTGCAGGATTTTAAAATTGACTTCAGTAACTGGTTGAATAAGATCTTGTCCCCCTCACTTCCACAGAGCCAACCACTCTGAAAACAACCCATAGCCAACGATTTACATTCTGATTGCCATATTAAATCATATTAAAGATGCTATAATCACACACATGAGCTTTAATATATGGTCAAAAAAAGTACATTGCAATATAAAACCACAGCAAAACAAAGACTTACATCCAGCTCTTCGTAATAGTGGTTCAGGAGGACAAGCTCAGGGTCGGCCCCAGGAATATGCTTCATCACCAGGTTATGGCTGAGGTAGAGATGGTCAGGGATTGGCACATTGGAGAGAAAATGCTGGAATATTTACAGTGTGCATCATAAAAAAACAGACTTAAGAACAAGTCACAGCAGCGTACGTAAGTCAAAGGATACTAAAGAGGAATGTCCTGGACCACAAAGGCTTTGACCTGCAGACAGAGGTGGTGATTAATGTTTTTCACTCAGAGCTGGTTTCATTGACAGATCTGTGGGGGGTTATGTGAAACCCCAGATGTGAAAAGTGTTTCTCAGAGAGGAAACAGGCAAATGTTGTCTTATTTTGTTCCTATTGGTTATACAACAGAAGGAAACTCACCTCTCTGAGCCTGTTCAGTTGTCATCCACCACAGGTCTGGAAACACAAAAATACAAGAAATCGTTACATGAAGCACTTGTACTTTTGAAGTGGGACATCACCTGGATTCGGAATAAGATACATTTCTGATATATTTCTGCATCTAAAATGTGTTTGCATTCTTTCATTGTGCTGCAGTTTTTTGGGTTAGGTTCCTTATTGTGTGTAATGTGTCACTGCAGCGTTGAATCCTTTGTACAGAGCACAGATTTGGGTAGGCTCCTGGGATGGATGCCTAGCCTAGAAATTTGAGCCCCAGGTATTGAGTCGCAGGTGTGACTAACACAACAATAGCAACATATAACAAGCTTTTCTTCGGTGGTGCTGGCAGGGTGGTGATTTGGTGACACCCTGGGGGAAAAGTGCATGGTTTCTCACAAAAAGAAGGGTAGAGTTACTGAAACTTTTGTGCAGGAATCCGACATCCTGTTACACACCCTCGGTCCCCTTTTCAGCTAAAAAAGCCATTATGTGTAAGATCTCATGGTTGTCACAAATGCATATATTATCTGCACAGTCCGTGGGTTTAATTGGGAATAGTGAAAACGCATGGAGACTCCCCGAGGAGAAGCATTCGCGCATGCGCCCAGCACGGAAATTTAAGGAATTAAACGCATCCATCCACACATTTAGCAAAAATCAGACTCAGAGCATGTGCTCAAAGCCTCGGCCGACAGCCACAGTCAATATAATTCACCCTACTTTCACAAATAAAGCGTGATATCATGAAAGCCACGGTGTACTGTACCTCCACCCTCGCTTTTGCGAGCCCGTCCAGTTTCTTCAGATCCACATCGTAGGCCGAGGCGCAGTGAAGTAAACTGGCAAACACGATGAGCCACATTATTTCTCCTCCTGGTTCAGATCGTCGGACCAGGACTCCGGTCTGCTCCGGCACCAGTGTCTGCAGATGTGCTTTAGGTAAGTAAAGGTAACTGAGGTTGAAGGGAGGAGGAGAGATGATGTGCAGCGATGTCACGTCCGGACCTCTTGCCACGTCAAATATTTGTCTCAGAGAGGCGTGGAGAGGGCGCTCATTGGTTCTCTGCGAGATCCCCATCAAGATACTGTTAATCCCATAGATTTGATACGCAAACTATGGTTAATCCTTGCAAATGCTAAAAGGAAAGAGATCACTTTACAGCCACATATTGCTTGTTCACTGCATTCATCATATTTATTAAACGTCACTTTAAGCAGAAAATGGCAGGTGGTGTGTTTTATATTTAGAAACAATGATGATGGCTGCTGCAATGAAGATATTATGCAAACATTAATGTATGACTATAAATGGGGAGTACATGTAGGAGAGAATATGGTAAACTGAGTACATAGAAGGAGTTAGCTGTGATGAAATGGAAGAATCCTGTCAAGAAATGTGTTCTTTGCCATGTTAAATGATTTCTTAAATTGCAAATTTGTGTCTGGCACACATGATGGAGTTATAATGTTAATGTCAATATTCAAAGGCTGAACCCAAAAGCAGACTCAAGACTGGTAAGAGGTGAAAAAAAGGCATCTTTATTCCTGAGAATATGGGAATATGGGTTTGAATCCAGGGATGAAGGCTTGCAGTGGGAAATCCGGTGTGGAGAGCTGAACTGAGGGACATAACAACATAACGATCCAACAGGGACTGGATGTAAGCACAGACTTCTTATAGTGGTGAAGTGAAGTCTTGATTGTAGCTGATCAGCAGGTGAGCAGAGACAGACAGACAGACAGACAGACAGAGGGGGGAGGGAGCAAGCAAACAGACCCAACCCAAAAAGTACACCTCACTCACACTAAAAGGTGCTTGCTCATGGTGGTACTGTTGGGTCTCTGTAAATAATGTTATAAGGAGTTTGGTCTAGACCTGCTCTATTTGAAAAGTGTCCTGAGATAACTTCTGTTATGAATTGGCGCTATACAAATAAAATGGAAT